TATCGTACATATAATTGCCCTTTTTTTTTCTCAGTGTGGCAGCAATACGCTTCAGTTATTGTTCTCCTCAGAAAAAAAAGAAAAAAAAAATTGACCTGCATTAATGTGAAGGGTGACACTGAGATCTCAACTGCAGTAAACAAGGTCTGGCTCAAAAACAGTGGTTTTAATGAGCAGGATGTCACGCAGGTGAGTCACTAGGTTTTGTCCTCACGCAGGCTACAAGTCCACTGCCATCTTCTGGTGAAATATAAAATTGCTGTTTCGTACGAGTATTCTTTTATGTGGACAACCATGCTCTTGGCCACATGTTATTGATTTTATGATAGTCGCTTCAGGCCAGTGGAAATTTAGACACACGCCTGGTTTAAGATGTTATTGACTCTGTGGTTTGCAGAATCTTCTTTTTTTGTGTTATTATTTTTAATACTCCGTTTGTTATCCATGACACCTTGATCTGCTTAAGTACCGTATTTTCCGCACTATAAGGCGCACTTAAAACCTTGTAATTTTCTCAAAAATCTACAGTGCGCCTTATGTATTACTTTTGGTTGCGCTTACTGAGCTGAACCGAACCGAATTTATAAAGCCAAACAACACAGCGCGGCACACAACTGGAGCACACCGGGAGCCGACAATAATGTTTAACTCTGTTATCACAATTAGAAGATACTCGACAACAATTATTTCAGTATGGTTGTGTAACTCAAATCCGCGCAATGTTGCGTCGTCCCTCCAAACATTACGTAACTGGTAAACTGTTCAAACAAAATTGAAAATGTTTGCCTTTAGCTATAACTGGTGGGCCTGAGATAATTGGTACTACAAAAAAAAAATGCAACTATAAACTGATGGGCACATTTCACACATAAAATCATTACTCATGTATTCTCAATTTAGCATTTAGCCATTTAAGATGTTTTAGAATCACAGAATACGTAAATATGTGTCAACAGGTGTCTGCCCGTTCGTGTTCTCTGCAAAAAGACGGCGGGACGGTACAGTGTACCGCGGCTCGACTGTGTGCAGCATATGTTCAAAGCCGTCGTTTTCAAGGGGCGCAAATCTTTTAAAAATAAAACACGCTATGGAATGAGTGATTGTCTTAGCCCCGCTCAGAGTTCGGTGGGAGTTTAGTGCACTGAAACAAAGTTTGTTGGTTAGCTGGAAGGATTACTGTTCTTAGCTTTTCACCGTTTTTAATCTTAATATCGTTGATGGCGTGACATATGAGCTCTCACATTTATTGTATTTCCAAAATACTTCACCTTTGTTAGGCAAATCTTTCGTATAGCATTTTCCTTATCAAGGTCTGGTTTCCCATCTATGGAGTAAAATCTAAAATGCTCCCAAACACTTGCTTTTAAGGAGAGGAATGGGGCGGGCTGAATTGAAATTTTAGGTCAGAGCTGACCGCACTTTCGACAAGATGCATCAGAACTGCTTAGTGTCGATGTAGCGCCTCTATTGGAACCGCGAGTTTAATTCAATTTAGAACGAAGCCAATACAAAATAGGGATAAAAAAAAAGCTTAAATCTCGATTCAAATGCAAATCTTTTTTTTTTTTGGCACACCCTTAAAATTTATCCTTTTCATTTTTATTTGAGACAGTTTATATATGCATTCCACAAGGTCATTTAGTTGTTCAGATGCTTATGATTAAACAAAGGAAAGGCAGACTTTTTTTAAAGTGGGGGCCTGCTCTTTAAAAATGGATAAAATAGATGGGCGTTTATTTGTGTCTTATTATTGATACTACTTTTTTTTTATTATCTTCATTACCCATTTTTATTTTTATTTTTTATCTATTCATTTTGTGCTCAAATATTGAATTATATACCTTCTGGCCCAGGGTAAAAATCAATGATTTGAAGTGAGGATGGTGCTATAATTAGGGGTGGGCAAACTCTTCCACAAAGGGCTGCTGTGGCTGCAGGTTTTTCCAACCTGTCCTGACCACACTGCTGGACCAATCAGCTGTCTGAAGAGTCTGATCAGTTGACTGAATGAACCAAATCAGGTGTTCTGCTGCTTGGTTGGAAAAAAAAAATCATCCCTTTTGTCCATGTTAAAACAATATCTAACTCTGCTGGCAGGTATATAATTGTCATTGGTTATATCCACGGTGTAAAGATGGCTCCAAACTGGGACGACAACACCTTTTTCAGACAGGTTTTTGCTACGAGACCCTTCAACTTAACTCTAGGAAATAGATTGTTGGATAATCCTTCTCTGGACAAGCTGCTAAATTCTATTTCTGACTGTAAATATGAACCCATTATCGTATCAGACCATGCTGCCATCTGTGTAAATGTTTATTTTAAGGGGTATTCTAATACAAGACCACTGTGGCGTTTAGAAACACATTTATTACCACAGTGGAACCTCGATACGAGCGTCCCAACATACAACTATTCCGAGATACAAGCAAGCATTCGAGCAAATGTTTTGCTTTGATATACAAATAAAGATTTGAGATACGAGCACTCAGAGC